ATTTTATACTTTTTAATATAATCCGTTAAACCACTCAGTCCCACTGAGAGTTGTCTCCAATCATCCCACAGAGCCGCTAATCCTGTTTGCACTTTCTCTCAACCCATTTCTCTTATATCTGCAGATTTCATTTTCTTTCAGTGCCCAAAATTATTTTGCAGATTTTCACTCATGACCACAACATTTACATAAAATACATAAAATACACAATTTCATCATAAATTTCTTCTTCTTCTTGTTATTCTTAATTTGATATATTTGGTTATTTGGAACAGGGTATCTGCAAACAAAACTTTGAAATCACAGGATTTACAACACTAACAACTTCAAATTTATAGTTTTTGCTTGATTGTTAAAATAGGATGTTTTTGTCATTTTTAATAGCAGCTAATTCATCTTAATAAGAGTGTAATCTAGGGTCAGTAACTTTCTCCTAAATCTGTTCTCAGTGTCTGGATACTCCAACATTTCTCCATCTCTCTTTATGAAAACCAGTGACTCATAAATTCTATTTTCACAAGCCTTTTTTTTTTTAATCTCAGATGTAAATTGAGTCCAGAGAAAGTGTCACCTAAACCAGAGCAGAGTGAAAACAGTCAAACTCTGAACATTTGGGCTCTGAAAAAATCCAAGGAGGCTAAAGTATTATATCATTTTTGTAGATCTTTGGAGCTTATCTTTGGAGCGGTTTCTTTCATGCATTAGATCAGGTTTGATGTCCATCAGTCTCTCTCAGCTGCTCTGGCCTGGACTCATTGGAGCTGCTGGATTCAGATCCATGTGAAAAAAAGGAAGGATTTGGGATGAAGAGCTGAACAGCAGAGTAAATATTTGGCCGTGGAGAGCTCTTGGGAGCTGCAGAGGAGCCTCTCCGGCTGAAGCCTGTAGGGTGTTAAATAGATTAAGTGTCTGCTGGCTCTTTGTGGACAGAGAAATTCCCGCTCTTTGGACATGACTTCTCTTTGCTTTTGCGTGTTTTTGCTCTCCAGTGGAGTGGCCTCTGCAAACTATCCACTCCAGCAAACCTGCGTACTGTAATCCTCTGCTGTTTGTGAATCCGCAGGGAGGCTGATGTGCACACAGAAATTAGGTCCATTCAAGTTTTGGGGAAAGCAAATTCAAGTTTTAAGTGTTTGGTTTTCAGAAGAGTAAAAAAATCAGTGCGTAAAAGTGACGATTCAGATAGTCTGATTTTTGCGCATTTGTGATTTCCGCTCCAGGTCTCTGATTGATTGAACTCTAAATCTAACAGGACTTTAATGCATCCTGAATCACACATGTAATATTGCCAGGGACTATAGATTTGGCGGCAGTAGACGCGGAGCAGTAGATAGTGTCCCAGATCCCATTCAGCTCCATTCAAAACCATGACAACACGGAACAAGCTCGGATTTATCCTGCTAACTTAAAGCACATTGTGCCGGGGCGTCAATCAGGCATTATTGCGGGACTGAACAAATGCAAAATCTTGACTGGAACAAATGCTTCCAACGGGTCTCGGACGCGGGGCTACATTTTCCTCTTTTGTTCCCCTCCTCTGCTTGGCATGTATTTGTGTTCGCTCTCGTCCGACCACCCAGGACGCAGAGCAGGCAGGTCCACCACCACCACCAGCAGCAGCAGCAGCTCTAAGAGGCCGGCCCACTGCGCCACGCTGAAGTGGATGATGGCCGGTATCAATATCAAATTAACCCCCACATGGGGCTCGATTCACACTTTGCATTTGATGCGTTTTTTTATGTGAGGAGACCCAAACAGATATCAGACTGTGGATGTCAGATCAAACAAAGACAATCAGACGACTTTGTCTTTGAAACCAGAGGGATAAAATCTGAAATAATAAGAGCCACAGTGACTCATCGATCTTGTTGTGATTGAAGCATGATGGATGCTCAATAATTAATCTTGATTACCAATAAATAAATCGTTGTCAGCAGTCATCAGTCACTGCTCCAAATTGTGAGCAGCTGGAGAAAGTATGCATAAAAGTGATGGTATGAAATTTGCCAATACAATACAAGAACTGTTATCTAAATATAACACGCTGACCATTTAACTTACTGACTAAAAATTACAGTTATATACACGATATGATCGATAATCGTCTAAAAAAATCGGCGTATTTTGTGCGATTAAATTTGCGTTCAATCTTTTTGTCATATGAGATTTTTTTTCATTTAAGATTTTACTCTCAGATGCAGACAGGAGGGTTAAAGTTGTTCTCAAACACCATCTTCATACAAGAATAGCTGCTAATTACAAGAAGGAAATATTTAAACGATAAAATTTCAAAAGTTTAAGTGCAACTCCCAAAAAGTTCAGAGGCTGGATAAAATGTTAGTAGAAACAAAAATTGATTATCAGATGAGGGTGTGTTTCATTGATGCCAAATGTTAAAACTGAAAAATGATTGTTTCATGATGAATATCTGATCACGTTCAGGCTCCAAAAAAAGCTGATGGAGGAACCAAAAAGAACAGTTTCTGGAGTTTTGAGGGTGAAATGTCTAAATCTCTCCTGAGGTAGGATTCCAACTTTTCAGTGGTTCTGACTCTCTTCTACTGCAGAGCCATACTGTTGTAATTTATGCTGAACATGGTTTGGCATCTTCTCTCTGAAATATGTGAGGTCCTCTTTGAAAACATTATCAGGATGTCAGCGTACGTTGCTCCAAAACCTGTATTTACTTATCAGCATTGATGGTGTCTCTCCAGATGTGTAAAATCTATGAGGCCTTGTGCATCTCTACACCATCATGGGTGCTACCTGGACATGAATGTCAGATTTTGAGAGTCAGACCAGTAGACAGTTTTCTGTCTCTCCTCAGTTGGGCTCAGGTCCAGAAAGGTCATCAATATTTCTGGATCAGGTTTCTTGTTTGCATGGCGCAGTCTTAACTTACATTGTGGGTGCAGCAATGACCCCTGTTCACAAAAAAAAGGAAAGAAAAAAAAAAAAGCTGTTTTCTGGAAGTGATTCTGATCAGTGATTTCCTCTACAGAGCAGAGTCTGTTTTTGGAAAGATCACAACCATGAAGTGATTTGATTTTCAGCCTTGAATGCTTAGTTTTGAAATAGGTTAAGTTGAGTTGAGTTGAGTTGAGTTTAGTTTAGTTAAGTTAAGTTTAGTTAGGTTTAATTTAGTATAGTTAGTTTAGTTCATTTTATTTTAGTTTACTTTAGTTGAGTTGAGTTGAGTTTAGTTTAGTTTAGTTTAGTTAAGTTAAGTTTAGTTAGGTTTAATTTAGTATAGTTAGTTTAGTTCATTTTATTTTAGTTTACTTTAGTTTAGTTTAGTTTAGTTTAGTTCAGTCTAGTCTAGTCTAGTCTAGTCTGGTCTGGTCTAGTCTAGTCTAGTCTAGTTTAGTTCAGTTTAATTTACTTAATTTACTTTAATTTAGTTTATTTAAGTTCAGTTAAGTTAAGTTTAGTTTGGTTTAGTTTAATTTAGTATAGTTAATTTAGTTTAGCTTAGCTTAGCTTAACTTAGCTTAGCTAAGTTTAGTTTAGTTAAGTTTAGTTTAGTTTAGTTCAATTTAGTATAGTTAGTTTAGTTTAGCTTAGCTCAACTTAGCTTAGTTTAGTTTAGTTCAGTTCAGTTTATTTTAGTTGAGTTCAGTTTAGTTTAGCTTAGCTTAACTTCACTTAGTTTAGTTTAGTTTAATTTAGTATAGTTAGTTTAGTTTAGTTTAATTTAGTATAGTTATTTTATTTTATTTTATTTTAGTTTAGTTTAGTTTAGTTTAATTTAGTTTAGTTTAGTTGAGTTGAGTTGAGTTTAGTTTAATCATTTGCACATGACAAATAGAGAGCAATTTTATGATCGATTTAAAACAGCGTTGTGTAGAGGAGGTTAGACGCCAAAAAAGGTTGTCAAAGTACCTCCCCCTGATATAGCTACAATTAATCTCGGCAGCAGTGCAAGTTATCAACTAATCAATCAATAAACGTGCAGAAACAACAATAAAATTTAACAGTAACAAGGAAATATAAATGACATGACAGTTAACAAATCCAATCAAATCAAATGGATCCAAGATCAGTGACTCCAAAACTATCACAGTAATGACCTCTTTAATTGACTTTGAATGATGATAATGAAGATGTGGACTGTAGAGTAATATATATTAAATAAATAAGAGTTAGTATATGATTTTCTATAAACATTTAACAAAGTGTAACTATAAATTTTCATTTTTAATGAAGTGAAAGACTGTCCTAAATCACCCAAAAGAAAACTCTAAGACAAGATTTGATAAGTGACTCATAAAGCAAAATATCGTCAAGTAAAAATAAAAACAAAAAAAGGGTCAAGATTGAGATTTGACATATTGCTTGGTGGCAGATCAATAAAATCAAATATCATAAATCACCCTGATGATCAGGAAAGAAAGACTTCCTGTCCCACATTCCTTAAATACTCCGAGGAGGAAACGTGTGAGTCCTCAAACATCCATAAACGTCCAAACTTCTCACGGTTGCAGTTTTAAAGCTCCTCTAATGGACGCATTAGTTAAACCAACTCACCGTGGCATCACGCTAATTGCTCACTTTGTATGCAAATGTGTGACACGTTGTTTGGGCTCGAGGAGGAGGAGGTGTGTGTGTATTTGTGTGAGTGCGTAAAGGGGGGGTTGTGTTGTCAGTTGCCACCCAAGACGTGATTCAGCTCCAACAATCACCATTATCTGTCCCCTGCTCTGAGGATACGGAACGAATCAGTAATGATGACGAGTGTGTCCTCCCTCACTTTCTCTCCCTCTCCTTCCTCACCTACCGTCATTGGGTGACAACACTCCATCCTTTCAGGTGCTCAGTGGAGGAGGAGGCTTTATAAGCGGAGCAGCCTTGAATATTTGGAGAGCTGTTTGTGTAAACACTGAGCGCACACACACTTCTGTTTGGACTGCGCGTAAAGTGGATGCTCCGTTTCCCTTTTTTGGAGAGATTTACTTGTTTGACGCAAAACAAACTCGGATTTTTACGCACGGTGGGGCGCGATGGCTGCAACGACCAAGTTCAGTTTTTCCGTCCGGAGCATCCTGGATCTGCCGGAGCAGGATGCGGAGGCAGGGCAGCGGTCCTCCCCGGTGTACACCTCCTCCTCCTCGTGCTCCTCCAGCTCACCGTACACCTCCTGGATGGACTGCTGCGACCGGAGCCCCTGCATGTGTAAGTACACAAGCTTCTGATGCTGACAGTGCTCTCCAGTTCCATTTTATTTCTATTTTGCAGCTTTATTTTAAAATATTTACAAGTACCTTGGGGGTTTATTTTATTTTTTATTGATGCAGAATATTCTTGTGGAAAAAAAGTTTGAAAAAGGGAGTTAAGGGCAAGAAAAGTGGGGTGAAAAAACGATTAAAAAAACGGACAAAAGTCAGGATTGCGCATAAAAAGTTGGGATTGGTTAAATGAAATGTGATTTAATTTGTGAAACTCTTGAATGAGATGATGAGATGAGATGAGATAGATAGATAGATAGATAGATAGATAGATAGATAGATAGATAGATAGATAGATAGATAGATATCTGCGTAAAATGCGTAAAAAGACAGAATAAAACTTTAATTTTGCCTCCATCTCCACTCTGAAGTCTAACCTCCATCTTTCTTTCCTGCAGCTTCAGATGAAGGCAGTCTTGAGGCCTCCCCGGACTCCACCAAACCAGATGACTCGTCCCCAGACTCGGATCCGGACATGACCAAGAAGAGCAAGAAGCGCCGCGTCCTCTTCTCCAAAGCACAGACTCTGGAGCTGGAGCGGCGTTTCCGGCAGCAGCGATACCTATCCGGCCCGGAGAGAGAGCAGCTGGCCCGGCTCCTCTCCCTGACCCCGACCCAGGTGAAGATCTGGTTCCAGAACCACCGCTACAAGATGAAGAGAGGTCGGGCGGAGGACTTGGAGATCCCACAGCCTCCTCCGCTGCTCCGCCGGGTCGTGGTTCCGATCCTCGTCCGGGATGGGAAACCTTTCCACACCTGCTTACTGGACACAGAGAAACCGGGCTGTTTGGCCCCCTCTCAGCCGGTTCACTTCCCTCTAGCGTACCCTCCTCTGCAGCACCCCGCCGCTGTCTCTCTGCCTCCCCGGTACCAGCAGCACTTTCCCTCGGCGTCAGCCCCCAGACTCGCCTGGAGAGACTTTTGGAGCGACTCGGTCCACTTTAACTCTTACAAATGAAGGACTCGTGAACTCATTTAGAAGTGCATCAAATGTTTTCTGAATGTTCATTTACACTCTCACTGTAGAAGGAAGGATATTTTGCACATTTTATTTTAATATTTCTGCGTGTATTTGTGAGACTTTGAGGATCTGTTGTTGGGCTGTAGAGTTTTTAATTATCTCTTGAGATAAACATAATATTTGTATGAATAACTTTTGTTAAAGAAGTTGCAGTAGGATGTAGGTGGAGATAGAAGAAGTAGCAGCAGATCCTGAATGTTTGAAGGAGAAATAACGTTATTTGTTGTCTTTAAGGAGACTTTTTAAAATGTTTTTTAACTGTTTTGTGGAGAAAATTATTAATAAAAAGTTTGAGATATTTTGAATGATAAATCTGACTGTGTGAGGTGCTTTTTTGTCAGCTTACGGACACAAAAAATAAGAACTTTCTGCAAACAAACCTTCAAATTTCATTTTCAGTTCTCTCAGCAACTTCTAAATGAAGAAAAAGTTGAGCTTTAGGTGTTTTTACTGGTTTAAAATTGTTAAATGTTACTTCAAATATGTCTAATTTGTAGGGACTAAAATATGTAGCGGGTCAGGACAGAGGCCTGAAGGCTTTTCTGATGTTAAAAACTAATTATGCACCCAAAAGCTGAGCAAACAGGTCCTGTGAAAGGCCTGGATTTGGTTAAGCATGAGAATAGCCAGTAAACATTACGGCCTCCCTCACTATGGCACCCTGTGGTCGTCTGGGCTGCTTCACTTTTATACAATTAACTTTTGTCATTCTGAAGTGAAGAAACAAAAAAAGAAAAAAACATTTCAGCTGATAGTTTGTGAGCTGGAGATTCAGACTTTTTGGAGAATTTGAGACACATTTTTAGTATTTTTGAAGAAGATGCTTCAAATAGACTAAAGATGTTTTATTTTTAAGCATTTTTTGGCACAGAGGAGCTGATTATTAAAGTCTAACTTGGCTGCATCTGTGCGTCCCCCAAACTTAAAGCCCAGATTTGAAGAACAGTGGCTCAGATTGTGTTGATATTCCTCGAACTTCCTCCCTCATTCAACGCTCATGAAAAATCTGCCTCCGTGTTTAAACTCATGTCAGTATTTCATCAGGACCGAGGGGGTCCTCTGCTTCCACGCCCTCTGTGATGTTGTTTGCTCGTCCTGTGACCCTGCAGCCCATCGTCCCTGTCACCTGGCCTTTTGTCCCCCGCTCCGGGGCCACCTTGTATCACATATGGAGGGGACTGTCCGGACCCCTCAGCTCGCTGCATCTCCCCTTAAACACCCTTTTTGTCTGCGTGTCTCCCCCTGAATGCACCATTGTCCTGCGTCCAAAAGAGGACTGAGACAAAATCTTTAGTGTTTCAATTCCCGTGATGTTTAATCAGCCCCTGCGACAAATTTATGAGCTTTAACTGCACAATGGTGTTTTAGAGCATCTCGGGGTTTAAGGGTGACAAAGACAGGCTTTTAGAGGTTGCCATTGGTTTTTTAAGTTGCTCACAGGAATTGTCTGAAAAGGATGGGCTGGTATTAGCCGGCCCATCCTTTAGTTTTACTCACTGCGTGGTCTCACTGGGCCCCGGGGCCCCTTTGAGGAGAGTTATAAGGTCCATAAAGCGGGCCACAGGAGGAGTCTGCTCCCCTGGTTAGAAATAACATCTCATATGAACTCCTAATGGAGATTATAGTTTCCAGATTTTAGCCCTCAACACTCACCATCAAGAACTCCAATGATTATTATCTGTAATATCAGCCTTTAAATACTTATGAATAAATAGAAAGAGTTATGATTTGTAAGCAGAAGAAAAAAAGGCAATAATGAGCCATAAATGTGTTTATTTATGTAGTTTATGTGTTTAAAAAATAACATTGTTATCTGAAATCAAGCTTTAAGAAAAGGTGTGTCCAAAAAGTCTTTAAGTCCAATTTTAATCATTATAGTAAAGAGTTTTTTGTCGTCTTAAGAACTACTAAAGCTGGCACTATTTTACTGAAATGACACATAACCAACATTTTATAAACTCAGTGTGTTCGACTGACACTTGGAAAAGATTTTCTGCCTCTTTTGCAGCCCTGAATGAAGTTAAAATACACCAATATTGCACACCTACTCAGCAATACACAGCTATTAGACGTCCAGTTTTTTTTTTTTAGACCTTATTTCAACCGTCTAGACTCTGTATATTTTTAGATCAAATTTAGACGTTGCACTTCAACCCATTGTTCAAGAACTATTTATTCCAAAAAGCAACTGTGAGTTGCAAAACTGATCTCAAAGTACTTAACCAAAATAGTAGTCGTTGAGCAATATACAGTGTAGTATAGATATAACCCATATTTAGACTTAGTCTAAACTTGGTCTAAAAAACTTTCATTTTTAGACCTGTAGTAGCCTGATTTTAGACCAGTTACCGAGGCTACATTTAGACCTCTATTAGACCAAAAAATACTGAGTGGGTATTCTCAGTTATCACACGGACACTATCTACACCATCTGTGCCTCCATGTCTTGCACATATGTTGTAATAAGACTCATAATTCAGTGTTATATATTTACAAATTCACTGTCTTATTCAGGTGCAAAAACCTATCAGAGTCCATAGATTTGGTCCCACAAATCCAGCCTGAATCAACCCTCTGCTGGGATTAGGATTAATCTAATTCTTTGGATCTAAATCGACCTGATCCTACGCAAAAGTTTCAAACACAAACCTGGGAGTTTTACTTGGAAAATACTAAACTGGATTGTCTTATATACTCTAATTTTGTCGTTCTTTTTCAACTTCAACAATTTGTTCTGATGATTTGATCAGATTCAACGGTTTTAATCTGATAAAACAGGCGATATTCACTTACAGTTTTTAAAGCTCTTGCCTCTTAGTTCACATGGGCTGATCCAGAACCTCAAACTGGTACATCAGGCCACTTCAGAGAGACAGAGAAGAGAAAAAAAAGAAGTTTTAAATGCAGACAAAAACAGTCTACTTTGAATCGTGACTTCAGTCTGAGAGTTTCACACAGACTGCAGAATCTCTCATAGAAACTAAGAACTGAAACACATCTACAAACAGCCTGGACAGACTGTAGATAACAGGAGTGTCTCTCAGGGTTCATGATATTAACAGCATGTTTTCTAAGGTCAAAGGTCAAACTGACAGTTATAGGATTGATATTCCATTTTAAGGAAAACAAGCTTCACCTGTAACTGATAAAAAGTCACAGTAACTCTGATTTAATCTTTTCATTTTGACATGATTTTCACATGACAACAGCATATTTACAGGGCAAAATCAGCAAAGAGAGAAAAGTTATTGTGTTTTTTTTCACACAGAAATGGACACAAAAGGAAAGTGAAGTACAAATTCTGGGTCCATAGTTCCTCTTCTATTGGACAACATCTTTAGGATCAATTTACACTTTTTCTTGCACTTTTTTTTTAATCTTTCATCACTGTGCACACTCTGAAACGCAACAGAAATAACCAAGACATTATTAACTCAAAATACAATATTCAAAGTTAATCTAAAAGCAGAATCTAATCGTTAAAATCAGCCTCACCTTAAACTGTTGTTACATTAAAGTTTTGTGGGATACACATTAACGTACTGTTATATCAGTAATTTTTATAATATGGGGTTTATTTACCCTGATAAGTGCTTTTTCTTTTCAAACTTACAGTTTATTTTGATGTTGTTTCTTTTGTGCTGGTTAATGTTTTACACATCTTTAGAAGAGTATCACTCAATAACAGTAGCCCTAATTTTACTGAAGCAAAACCTCACACACTTTTCATAAACTGCTACAGCTCATGAAAACACTGTTTTTAGTGTTAAAGATGTATTCCACCACTAGATGGCGCACTAACACACACTATCTTTCCTTTCCACCTGTTGCACCACATTTTGTTGTCTTTCTTTATTCATCATTTCAGTTAACAAACAGGCATTTAAACTGCTGAGCATCACACAAATTACTCTCAGCAGCACTGAAGACAAAATCAACATCAAAACTGACCATAAATCAAATTAAAATAAAGGATAAATCAATATAAACTCAAGTACTTTTTCCAACTTTTGCAAAACTGAATAGACACTTCAGAGTCAAAACAATAATAAAACAAGTAAATGAAAAATAAAAGACAATTTCTCAGACTTAATTACAACATTACCCCACTAAATAAATCTACTTTTGTCCTTATGAACACCAAATTTTTCCACATTATACCAAAAACAGGAACTACCTGCTGTCTAAGTAGAATTTTTTTCCTGAGATTTAGTATCAACAGGAGAAAATGTAGCTTCATTTGTTATTCTCTTAATCCACACTGCTCATCACTGACAGCACAGACCTGTCTTTGTTGTGTGTTGCAGTCACTTGTTGCGCCGCTAGGGGTCGCACTTCATTTGCTCCTGCTCAGGAGCGTTACGGCCGCTGATTGGGTACAAATAGATGGCCGGACGTAATGACGTCTGTCCGTTCAATTTGACGTCATGGCCGGAGTATGTGGAGTTTGTTGGCGTCCGAAGAGTCTGATGTTGTTGTTTTTGTAGTTGTTGTTCTGTGGTGTGAAGTTGTCTGACGTGAAGCTGAACTCTCTGGATTTTAAAAAGTTACTACTTTAGGCAACAATTTTAATCTTGTTTGTCTTTATTTCTCCGGTAGAAATGAAACTTTGAGAACTGTTTAGGAAGAGAAAAAGGGAGAAATTGTGGAAAATGAAACTTACAAAGAGAACTAGTTGCTTCCATATTGATTAGGCCAGTATGCTTTACAAATATACTAAAGACATGCAGAAACCTTAAAATGTACCTAAACTCTTGCTTTTGAATTTCAGTCCAAATAGAGTAATAAAACATCTTAACACATATGTGTTAGTCTACAGAAATGTGCAATGTAGAGTATGAAGTGCCGAATTTTGCAGCTTTATCTCTTGCCTTTTTCTCTACCGTTTCTATCTGGATAAAGTGACTTTTCGCACTTGGAGAACAGATTTTCCCTCATTTCCTCTTTTTAAAATAACAGTTTGGTTCATGATGTACCTCTGCAGCTTTATTCCAATATTATCCACGTTCATGAGGGGAAAAACACCTCCACAGCTACAAAATACATTGATTTATTTAACCAGAAATAACAACAGTAAGTTCGTCCTGTCTTACTTTTTATTGCAAACACTTCTTTTCCCCTCCCGTGGATTATATCAATGACCAATCAGTTCATAAACAACATCGTGCAGCCGCGATGACAAAGACTCTGCAGCCTCATACCGCCACTTCAAAGTGTCCTCATTATTCTGAGGAATTAGTCTGAACATTTGGAATAATTAGCGCTAATTGGCCGTAATAGCCGCGTGCCAGAACAGTAAAAAGGTGCTGATTTAGATGATTAAGAATGTCTCGTGAAATTCTGTATAATTAAAGCAGCCATATACGCAGGATTCAGCCTCTGCAGGGACATGCTGTCGGTTTAATTGCCTGCGATTATGTATGGCCTGAATTCTACACCTCCAGTATCATCTGAGCTGTTTATTCCAACTGTGATATTTAAGCTTGGACTTTACTATAATTTACTTTTTTAACAGTATGTTTTTTTTAATCGTGTGCATGTCTCCTCAGTGCATGTTGAATAGTGAGATTACTCTGTTTAATATGAATGTAGCCGTGAAATCTGCCACCACAAGTCTGTCAGTTACACAACTATAGCCGATGATCCCCGTGACAAACTGTGACTGATCTGCATGACACTGTACTGTTTGGACTTGAGCCCCCAAGTCCTCGGCTTCACTTTGACAGCTTTATTTTGCTGTGAGTGCAAAAACAATGAAACAAAAGAAATATTTAACAGTTTAATTTGAAGGTGAAATAATTCAAACTGGATCAGAGTCAATGTGATAAAAGAGAACAACTTTATAAATGATTGTGTCTGCCACCAGAAGACGCTGTGTTTCTGTAACTCCTGTATAAAGAGAATATGGACTCGACCTGCAGGTACATATTTCTCCCTCTGCTGCTGCTGCTGCAAGACTGACTTCACACCTCCTGACCGAGACATTACCAAAGAGATGAGAATTTAAAAAATCTACTGTATTGATTTTACTGTCATCAAAGGTTAACTATCGGCTCAGGATGTGTGGGGGAAAAGTTATTGCTGCTTTTACGCATCTGTCATTTGTACTAATTTTGTTGCTAAAGGACATTATGAAAGAAAAATATTGTAGAAATGTAGGTCCTTTACATTATGATTGATTTCTTTAACTGAAAAAAAGTAAAATAATAATATGCCATGGCTGTATTATGGAGATACACACCACCAAAAACGCGTCTGAATTCAATAAGACATGTCAGTGTTCTATACAGTTTACTCCTAGCTATACAACACATATTAAACAGATAAATTAAATGACTCAGAACACGAATAAAGCTGTAATTTTTGTTGCACGTCGGAATACTCAGGAAGAAAAATCAAATACAATTTTGAAAATACGATTTTGGATGAAAATTCCATGAAAAAGGAAACCAAAACCCCGTGCGTAAAAGTGAACTTTGGCGCGTCAAGAGGCTCAGAGTGCCATTCCTTGACTTCAAAGCCGGTTGGATGGAGCCTAAAATCTTTTCAATGGCTCCTGTGCAGAATTTCAGCAATGAGATATGATTGAGTTAAACTGTTGTAGCTCCTTGAGCATTAGGCCAAGACGCTGCTGAGTGAGGGCTACCTGGCGTTGTGTTGCAGGAGAGTACTTGAACGCCGTTAACTTCGCATGAGAGCCTCTCCTGCTTCACACTCTATTTTCTGTTTATTTTCGTGTGTGCGTGTGTGTGTGCGTCTCTTTTTAAGACGGGTGTGTTCATGTGAATTTTGGTAACACGCTGTTTGCGTCCAATGATATCAAAAGGGGAAAAAAGGAATAGAAAGGAGGGGGGTTAATGATTTACGCAGCCACTTCACGCGCGGATGTGTATTTATTTACTTATCAGTATCAGTCAATTCCCCTCCCCGCAAGTGCACTTTTGCATGTGTGAGTACGATAAGGCATAACACAAACAATCCTGCAATCACTGGAGGCCTCTCGTGGCCATTAAAAGTCAGGAGTTCAACCGAGGAGTGCTTCTCCAACTCTCAAGTCCATATAGGCCTCCTTTCATCAAGAGGCCCTCGTAAACATCACTACAGTTAATAAAGTGCATTGTGGTCAGTGCAGTCCCGAGGTGCAGCAGCGTGTTTATCACACACAGGCAACAACAGCTGTAGCGCGAGCCCCCCGGACAGCGCGTGCAGCCAGCCGGGACGCACATCTCTTGCTCATCATGTACAGCGCTTATGTTATTGTTAGTGGGAGGGGAGCGCATGTCTTGGAAGTGAAATTACGCGCGGCGAAAGGAGGCTCGAGCTGTTTGGTATTGTTGCGGATGCCCCGCCTCTGATGGTAGCCTTAAACCTGGCACCCAGCTAAAACAAACCAAAGCCAGCACCCAGCTCCCACTCAATCCAATTAAGGCGGACTTGAGGCGGCTCTCCTTACGTGTTCATCTACCAGGATCGACGTTGAGACAACAGGAACCAGAGGGGCTTTGGCCAAAAAAAAAAAAAAAAAAAAAAAAGGAGAAAAAAAAAAAGAGAAGGAGAGATTGCCTTGCCTTCTAATTTCTCCCTCTCCAGTCCCAGAACAATGTCGATGAGCCCTAAGCATACGACTCCTTTTTCTGTTTCCGATATCTTGAGTCCTCTTGAGGAGAGCTATAAGAAAGTAAGTATGGAGAATAACAACTTGGGGGCACCTCTCACTTCGTACCGGCAGCCGCAGGTCTCTCAGGCGGCGATGCAGCAGCACCACATGGGCCACAACGGGACTGTGTCTGCGGCGTACCACATGACGGCTGCAGGTGTCTCCCAGCTGTCACACACGGCAATGGGGGGCTACTGCAACGGCAACCTGGGCAACATGGGCGACCTGCCGTCTTACCAGGACGGCATGAGGGGCAGCACCACGGCCACCGGCTGGTACGGAGCCAACCCAGACCCGCGCTTCTCCACCAGTGAGTATCGTGCACCTGTTTGAGTCCAGCTTTGAGATGAGTTATGGATATAGTTTCTGCATTCATGTTGTTCCTGGCACTTGCGCGCTTAAGTGGGCTCTCTAGAAACCTGTGGGGTTAACATTTAGATTTATATTTTGGCGACAATGTTTGAGGGAAAAATGTAGTAAAGCAACATTTTTTATCCAGGGTGTCAAACGTTTGGGAAAGTCTTAAAAGGAGAACCGTGCGAAAATCTCCCCAAACTCTACGCTTTAATTTCACGAATGTTTATATTCAGTATTTTCTCTAATTTATCCAGAAATATTGCGAATAAGTCCAGAATTATTCTCCCACTGTGTGCCCAGGGATATGTGGATATTTGACGGTTGAATAATAATAATAAAACACGGATTTTGTCGCGCATTACGCATCATTTTGAGGCCTTTTTGGAAAGGCGTTTGAGACTGAAAACATGGATAATTTTGCCATGCACTTTTTGACAACTGTTAAAATAATTATGGGATCAGAAATGACATTTATGCAAAGGTTAATTATATCACGACTCCATATAAAAGTTATTTAATATTCAGACGAAGAAGTAAGATGTCAAGGGAAATAATTGTTTGAGCGTCCTGTAACATTTTCGCGCGTAAAATCAGAAATTTTGTGGCATTAATCGGATTTTTTTCCCCTTCAGTTTCTCGCTTCATGGGTTCGTCTTCGGGCATGAACATGGGCAGCATGGGCAGCCTCAGCTCCCTGGCAGATGTGGGTAAAGGCATGGGATCACTCTCCAGCACCCCGAGGAGAAAAAGGCGTGTGCTGTTCTCCCAGGCGCAGGTCTACGAGCTGGAGCGACGCTTTAAGCAGCAGAAATACCTGTCCGCTCCAGAGAGGGAACACCTGGCCAGTATGATCCACCTCACCCCGACCCAGGTGAAGATCTGGTTCCAGAATCACCGGTACAAGATGAAGCGGCAGGCCAAAGACAAGGTGTCCCAGCAACAGATGCAGCAGGAGAGCGGCTCTTGCGCGCAGCAGCAGCAGCAGTCCCCGAGGAGGGTGGCCGTGCCGGTGCTCGTGAAGGACGGTAAGCCGTGCCAGGGCAGCGGCCACACGCCCACGTCCTCCACGCAGAGCCACCACCAACAGGCCGGTAACGTCATGATCATGTCTAACAATGCGTCAGGGCTCGCGCAACATCAGAGCCAGCAGGTGGGGAGCACGGGTCACTCTCCGGATCTGGCTCCGCACTCCTCCAGCCCGCCGTCCCTGCAGAGCCAGGTGGCCGGCCTGTCTCACCTCAACTCCCCCGGGGCAGAGTACGGCTCGGCCCTGCAGTGTTCAGCCCTGTTATACGGCAGGACATGGTGACAAGAGGCGCCGGCTTTTCTTTCAAACAACTCTTCTATTTAAAAAAGAAAAAGACTTTTTTTTGTTTCTCCTGTCAAGACTCGAGAAGTTTTCCTGTAAATGTGCGTTTGAACAAGAGCCGAGCGTTGCAAATCTTGAATTTTCACTCTTTCTTTTTTTTTCCCGGATGAAGTTTGACTAACATGGAAGGAGACAGAAAAACAATTTTTGACCATAAACTGCGGATGTGAAAGTCTTTGGATTTATTTATGTAAATTATATTAAGACAAAAAGAAGAATCAGCAGTCATATAGGCCGCACAAGTGTGGGAAGAAATGAAGACATATAAGAAACTGCAATAGACCAACACGAGTGCCGCTTTACACCCCACAAACACACACACACACACACCTGACTCTGATTTATAATAGAATTTAATGTAAGCCGTAGATTTAGCTTGTATATTTCTGTAAAAGGTTTGGATTTTAGCTATCTGTTGTACAAAGTTTTCGACGCTATTTGCCGGTTTGTTGTCGTTTTATTGGTATTTGTACGTTTGATTTCTTTGTAACTTATATAGATATTTGACTTACTACAAAACAGTCCTATTAATAAATTATGGAAACAAGACGGTTAAGTTTTTGTGGCATATTTTAAAAACGCAAAGATAAATGGCGAAGGTGCAGAAACTATTATTATTATTATTATTATTAATATTATTATTATTATTGTCCGATACAAACTATGCGTCAAATTTATCCACATTTTTCAGCCATTTTTTCCTTGTTTTCCTCTGTGATAAATCACTCACTAACCAATCTCATAGTTAAAGGCTGCAGAGTAAACTAAACCTTTATGTGCAGTTTGCTCTTTTTTTCTCTTTCTTTTTGTGTGTCTGTGTTTGTGTCTGTGTGTCTGTGTGTGTTTTTGCATGCTGCACGTGTGAGTCAGAAAGGTGAGGTCTCTCTGCTCCAAACATCAAACAAAAAACGCTGCGCAAAGAAAACCTTGTCGGTGAAATCCCTGTCCAAACAGCGCCGTGTTTTTCTTCTCAGATTACTATGGGTGTGCGGCTATCAGCTGCTTTATCAATAATCAATCAGGAAGGTGAAAGGAAACGACTAAAGGCTGTTTGTGCCCCGGTATCGATAACAAACCAGTGCCAGAGATATTTATTTTAACATTCAGCTGTGTTGATGTTTTTAAACGGCTGAAAATAAAAAGGGCAACCGGTCATTTATTTCTCCTCTGTAAACAAAAAGCTGTAGTAATCATTAGAGGCGATTCTCCCGCCAAATCATGGCGCCGCTTTAAGTATTAACGGCTAAAAAGTGGTTGCTAAGCTACAGGAGTAACGGCTAGCATAAAATCAGTGTCCTCCAACCAATTTAAAACCTTTTTAAACACATTTTTTTAATCATAAAATACCATATACACACTGTTACCCGACTTATCTGGGGTCTTATCCATTTCATATAAGCTTTTAAAAACACATTAATGAGGACTAGTTTGGCTAACTATCGTATAAAACATAGCACACACATATAGGTGGAATTCTTGTTAGCTAACTGCTATTTTTGATGAAATTATAGTGTAAAAGTCTACTAGGGAGCAGTTTGAAGGTGATGTAACCTCTCTAGCCTTGCTCCCCTTTGTTTGAATTTCACCAGCACGACCTTTGTAGCTTTGGGCTTTGAGAAAATGAGCGCTAACGTCGTACTAAGCTATCACAATTGAACTAGCCTCCTGTACACCTGGTATAACTTACTTAAATGCCCACATATAAAGCTACAGATGAAAAAATTGTGTTTAGTGTTCCTTACTGTAAAAATATAGAGGATCCTTACTGTATTTTAACTCCAGGCTTTGGAACTAGCCTTCCTTGCACCTGTTATAGCTTAACCTAAATGCCCACATATAAAGCTACAGCTATAAAAAATATTGAGTTTAGAGTAAATTACTGTAAAAAAAATAAAGATAGTCCTTACTGTATTTCAACTCCACGCTTTGTATGCACCTGTCTGTGTCCTAATACAATTAAACTACCCTTCTTTAGACCTGTTATAACTTACCTAAATGCCCACATATTAAGCTACATTTAAAAAATATTGTGTTTAGTGTAAATTACTGTAAAAGTATAGAGGGTCCTTCCTGTATTTTAACTCCAGGCTTTGTAACTAGCATCCTTTACACCTGTTATAACTTACCTAAATGCCCACATATTAGGCTACAGCTGAAAAATATTGCGTTTAGTGTAAATTACTGTAAAAATATAGAGGGTCCTTCCTGTATTTTAACTCCAGGCTTTGTATGCAACTGACTGAGTCCTATTACAATTGAACTAGTCTCCTTTACACCTGTTATAGCCTCACCTAAATGCCCACATATAAAGCTACAGCTATAAAAAATATTGAGTTTAGAGTAAATTACTGTGAAAAATAAAGACAGTCCTTACTGTATTTTAACTCCACGCTTTGTAGGCACCTGTGTCCTAATACAATTGAACTAGCCTCTTGTACACCTGTTATAACTTATCTAAATGCCCACATAAAAAGCTACAGCTGAAAAATATTGTGTTTAGTGTAAATTACTGTTAAAATATAGAGGGTCCTTCCTGTATTTTAACTCCACGCTTTGTATGCAGCTGACAGTGTCCTGTCAAAGCTAATTGCCTGACTTAACATGGGATCACTGAATTACACACAGAGCCTCTTGCCTATTATCCCGTCTATATCTGGCATTTACATCATTCTGGCTGCATTTCTTCAATTATATTTGATCTCATGCTTTAGGCTACCTTGTTATCGATCTGTCTCTCCTTGTCAATACAACCTAAAATTACGTGTCAGAGGTTTGGTGAAGCGGCTTTCACTTGGACTCAGCTGAACCTTTTGGCTTAAACAGAGTGGCTGTAATGTCATCTCTTGTCAGCTTATTCTCGATTGAAAACCACACTTGTTTCAGAAAAGTATCTCTGCTCACAAACATTGGTAAGAAGTGTCATGTCTTATTAAAGATCTTGTGTATTCGCCTTTGCCTAATCTTCCTGTCCCTTTAAGCCCCAGCAGCAGCAGCAGATAGGCCACCAGGCAGCCCACCAGAAAAGCCCTTTTAGAGACTTAAAAGTGAAATCTCAGCAGCAGCAGCAGCATCAGAAACTGTCTCCTATTAGGTATTTCTCAGAGCTGGTTTTGTTGGGCATAGAAGTGAGAACTTTGGGATTACATTACCATGTCTTTGGCGCGGTGTGTGGTCTTTGTGTGCAGCTTGTAGCTGTTGAGAATGACTTGTTGGAAGCGTGTGTGCTCTCATCGCTCTCTTTTGTAGAAACTCACAGTGCAACTCCCCAAGTCCTCCTGGCTTTATGGTGAGCTGGTCCCCATGAACCCCAAGCAATTAGTCCCTAATCTCAAGGTAATCATATTTGAGTTAGTGACTAGCTGTTGAATTTTTATTCGCCTGTTTAGCTTTACTTTCACTTTTGGTTTTTACCCTGGTATTAAAAAATGCTTATTTTGTGCACGAGCATGTAAGTTTAGACAGATTTAATTACAGGTGTTGGAATTAAAATACGCGAGATGAAATAAAGCAAACCACAGCAAATGAAAGTTAACATTTCAGCTTTCATATTTTACAACCAGGAGTCTTAAAATCTCAATCACAAAGGTGACATCGTTTTCAAACGTCAAGTTTTCTGCATTAATAACAAAAATGTCCCGTGCATCGCTGATTTAAATGTGTTTTAAATTTATATTTCAGCGTTTACGATGCACTTTAGCGTCAGTACGTTAAATTAAGTGTCTACATTGAAGACACCAAAGGATGTCTATTAATGTTTGATCTGAGGAAGATTATTTTGCACGCTGTTGTTTATCCTTTTGAAGACCTAAAATAACAGTAAAATGTAAACAAAGTATTTGTAAAGTAAACAAAGCAACGATTATAAAATATTTGTATTTTTAATCAACTAGGCTTTATAAACAAATAAAACCGAAAGTAAAAAATACTAAAACAGACTTCGCTGGTTTCGTCCATTTGATAAAAGTTAACATTTATTCTAGTCAGCAACTTAACGTTTTAGGAGTTGATACATAAATGTGTTGCATTACGACATATACTTTTATGATGTGTTTACGTTGAATTAAACCCGTAGACATCCAAAATGATATCTAAAAACCTAAATAAACAAAAAGAAAACAAAAATTTTATACAATCAAAAATATTTATTATTCGCGTATTTTTCAAAGAGGCACCGTGCGGACTTGGTGCTGTCCACGGTCCTGAAATACATGAAATGTACGTAACGTGTCCGGTATATTTGAGGTTTAAAATATATATTTATGTCATAAATTGTTGGGAGATTATAAAAATAAGCCTGTCTTCTTCTCCTTCTTTGGCAGCACAGCCTCTCTCGCTGCTCTTTTTTTAAGTTCCTAAACATTTCAATCCTGCAGGCCTGAGCATTCACGTGCATTACAAATAGCACAATTACACAGCAACTGCAATCACCCCCCTTTGGTAAATGTTATTGTCAGCTAGCAGCAAAAATCTTTAATTGTCCTACGTTTATCTGCTTCTTCAAGCCATTGTTCAAAGGGCGCAAACGAGGGTCATTTGTGAACCGAAATACTTTGCATGCAAAGCGGAGCACAAGATGCTGTAATACTTGACCTTTCAGCATAATTGTTGCAGGCATGAAATGCAGCTTGCAGGGCTCGCTGAGTGGAGCCTTTTCTTTCTCCCTCCTCCCTCTGATGAACAAAGCGCATTTTATACGTCTTCGGTGTTCATTTGGTTTTGTTTCTTTCCGGGAAAATTTCTCTGGGAACGGCTGCAATTTATCTTCCTTTTAATAACACTGCTAGGCCAAAAAAAAAAATAGATTTCTCAATTCAACACTCCACAATGGGCTTCATGTTTAGCCCCCTAAAAAAGGCAGAAAACTTGTAAATGGATGTGTTTATCAGTTTGACATGACAGACCTTTAACATAATGACTCTGGACAGCAGGGCTGAAACATCTGGCTCAAGGACACTTGAGTGACTGCTGCTACCTAGATCTGTCAAACTAGATGTTGACACAATGATGTTAAACAGAATAAGATGAAATTTCCCCCAAAAATTGAATTTGTGTTCTACCATTATACCTGAAAGGACTTTAAAAAAGGTTTAATGTTTTTATAGCTTCAGAAACACCAAAAGTTGATATACATTTCAAATCTTCACAACCAAATATGATCCAGATTTAACAACAAATGTCTAAAGTTGACTATTTTTTGAGAGAACTGAAGTATTCATGAGAAACTGAAGTATCTGAGTTTTACCAGATGATGCAAAACATAAGAAAAATACACTTTTATTGTAACTAAATCATCAGCTGTTTGATTATTCAGTTAACTCAAGCTTTTTTTCACAAGAGCAACAATTAAGTGATTAAATCTAGATGAAACCGAACATGATTTCTTGCGAATTTCAGGGCAATAAAAGGATATTTTCAATCTTGTCTCGCCATGAAAACACGTCTTGGATGGACAGCTTAAGACAAACACAAAGAACACAACTCTTTCAAAAACAGTAGAGTAACAACCTGATGACAACTTTTAGCGCAAGTCTGTGATAATGAACTCTTCTCTGCAGAATAAACTGTCAGCAGAGATGGTGAGATGCAACAACATGGACGGTTATTTAAAGCTCCTGTGTGTCGTTTTTGTTTGGTCGTGTATCAGACTGAATCTACGGCTGATGTGTTCATTGGACCAACTAAAGCAAACATGACCAAAGGCATGAAGACTGACGAATTTGTCCACAGGTGGCGCCAAAATCAACACATACTAAAAGTTCCATAGAGGTGTTTTAAAAGGTTTCCCCCCTAACATGTTAGATAAGGCTAACTGGCCACAAAGAAAAGACAGTACCTGTAGTTTTGTCTGTTTTTAGAGTTTTAAAGGCCAAAATAGTACATTTTAAAAAGTTTGTCCTCGTAAAACTAGTATCATCTACATAGAATGTAACTGACAGTGTTTTATCCCCCAGTCATGTGGAATTTCCTCTGAAAGGACAACAGACCTTGCGAAGTACTTATGTCAAGGTACCCACCAAACATCAGGCATCGAAGAAACGTGCAGATCAAGTCAGCATTGGGTCGGTCCGTCAAAGACCACATCTAGATGTCAGTGGGACGTGCAAAATAGGTTAGAAATTTCAACGTCCAAATTTGATCTTTTTTAGACGTCGCTCTGATGTTTAGAATTTGGACCAAATCTAGACGTCAGCACAACATGCAAAGTAGATCCAAGATTTAGACGTCATTATTAGACCTCTTTTAGACATTGAAATGACATCCAGACGTCGAAAAAATATGTTAAATAGATGTTATTTTGACGTCACATTGCACAGTGGGTACAGAAAACTTGACATTGGCATTAAAACTGTACAGAAATGTGAGGCTGAAGAAAACTGCCTTGTTTCATCCTGAGATATTTTGATGCAAAAAATCAATGAAATAAGAAAATAAAACATCCTCAACAAAAAACCTCAATAATTACACTTCCAATCAGCACAGACTTCACACAATCCTCACATCCTCTCTTGACAAACATTTGTTAAAACCAAGTTAGAGGCAGAGAGACATTTTTGTCTGTAATTTCTCCTAAAGGTTGACTTTGTTGGTTGACCATTTGCTGACCCGGTGAAACCTTCACTCGAACCTTCAGAAACTTCCAACTTACTTTGTTTTTTGGGCAATATCAAGTACAGGGGTCTTCATGAGAGTCAATTAATTAAAAACAGAAATGCTAACCAAAAATCAGCCTTTTAATGCAACAGCCAAGTGAATCTGTGCCAACTTTTACATTAAAGCTAAATCTATTAGCAGAGGGGAATTTGGAATCTGTCAAATTGTCATGGCTGTACCTGAAATAATAAATTATATTTATAGCACAGCAATTAAATCATATCCGCTCCAGGAGAAAAATGTTGGCATTGATACTCAAAACCATTTTAGTGGATTGGCCCTCTCCCTCTGAACTAATGAAGCACTTCCCGGACCGAGTCCAACTACGCTAATACAAGAGCGTACATTGTCATTGTTTAGACATGACTGCTGTCCTCCAGTGACCCGGTCTAACGTGTTTAAAATCAAGTAAGGGTATCGTTTTAAATACAAAATGTTGTTACCATTCATCGTAGGACATATATACCTCCTACTACTGCAGGGATCGTTGTGCAGAAAACAAGAAACTTCAAGATTGTAAGTTTCCAACAAAGTTTACAGACAGTTTAGTCTTGACCAGAGTAAACTTCTGTGGCGTGATGATAGGTCTTTTTCATTTCTATTCATCAATTGTTGAGCAGAAACCATCAGTCACCAATGGGCCAACAGAAGATGCTGTTTAAGCACGTGGAGAGCAAAATATGCAAAGACTACTTCATACACAGCGAGTGCCATAATGTACACAAACCAAAAGCTAAGTGCAAATGCGAACTATGTGTTCAGCTCAACCACCAGCAGAATAAGTCAACTTTGACTGCACACGGCCCTGATATTAACGTTTTTATCCATCAAAGCTTCGATGAGGAACTTCCTGTTTGTGTTGAGTTTGGTGTGCCATGTGGAAAATGTGCTAATCCTGTCTTAGGTCACGTTCCTGACAGTTCGTAATCAGTCAGTTTTGTCGCTGATCGTCATGTTTGCCATCCTAGATTATTAAGTTATTTTCAGTTTATTCAAACCAACTAAAAACTGCTTACAGGAGCTTTAAAGAGTTTGCTTCACCATAAAATTCTGGCATTTTAGAGAGTTAAAGAGTTTGTTTTTGTGTGTGTTTCTCTACTCTATGGCTACCATCAAATTTCCTCCTTTCCTCCTTAAATTCTCAAACGAGTGTAATGCAAACGCAAATGTGGATTAGAGGAAATGTGGAATTTCTGTGGGCTGCTTTAACTCGTCTTAATGTGTCTACGTACTCTTGTTAAACATGCCAGTGAAAGGAGACCAGACTAAAGCGGGGTTGTCACGTCTGTGTACAGTAACAGCAGGAGTCCTTTAGAAACCAACCAGCCATCACTAACCCTGTTAACACCAAACCCTCATCAAGAGCCGGTCCTGCTGCTGCTGCTCTAAAGGGCTGCGGGAATAACTGCTCCGGTTAATGAAGGGCTCAAAAGTCCAAGGCTTTCCCTTTCAGCGTGGCTAAAGTCCATTTAAATGTATCTGCATATAAACAAGAGGGTACTTAAGATTTAAAAAGTTAGAAAAGTTCATGTCTGTCACTGCGGATGTGAAGCGCATCATGTTTAGAAAAACTGGAAAGTCACTGAATGTCTGTAAAAGTGTTTAAAAAGGTATATAATTTCATTTTTGTTGGAGTTTCTGTACGCTGAAGACTTTGGAATATAAATGTTAAATCTTTCACCATGCTCAGAGAAGAGTGTTACGTCTGATAGGAGACCATCCCAAACCCAGCAGCCCCCTCACTCCGTCCCCTCCTCATTGCGGATGAATAGTGAGGTTTGTCTCTTTGCAGCCTGAAAAAAGAATTCCTTGAATGTTGCTACAATAAGCAATCAAGATCCCAAAGGGCAGACATTTGGCAGCTTAATGAGTTCAGGCTGCAATCACCCCCAGAATAGACCCCTGTCCATTTTAACCCGAGCCAAACCTATACGAGGCTGGCTGAGAGAAAAGGCAGCTCGTGCATTTAACTCAACGTAACTGTGGGTTAACACAAACACGGGGTGGAGCGAGATTTAAATAGGTCCTGAATATTAGGACCTGTTGAGACCCACACATTTTGTTCGTCAGCAAGGAGGGAGGGGGTGATATTTGCCCCCCTAATGAAATATGTCATTACGAGGAATTCATGTGACACAAAAGGGGCGACAGTCAAAAATTGCCCCACTGCTGTTCAGTAATTACATAGTTTGCCCTGGCAGCGCCTTCAGGCAGGTGGCTGGTCCATCATGCAAATGGCTTGGCTGTGCTGACATAATTAGCCACCACGAGCCGCTTAAATTAACAATTAGCTAACATGCAATTCTGTGCACAACGCGGTAGTTCTCTTTTTAGGGCCAATTGTCACAGTATTCCGGAGGTTGAATTGCTCTGTAGGATATGTGGTTTCTGACTTGGTCAATTTAGAGTCTAAATGAAGGGAAATGGACAGAATAAGAGCTTATAACATAATCCCTCAAAGGGTATAGCACATATCTCATGCTAACCGCTCGGTTTTAAGCTTCAAAACCAAGTGCTGGGTGTAAATGCGCACTTGTTCTCGGCGTTTAAGTCTCAGAGGTGTCAGCCTGAAAAGCAGGGGAGTCAGGTGTTGGTAGTGAAATGGCAGTTTAGCAGAAAAACAGCGCCGTAAGTGAGAGTGAATCGGACTCATTCGGCCACATGCTGAGTCTGAAGGTTCTGCTTTTCTAACCTCTCCACTGATCCCCACCATTGCCTTTTCTGTGGCCCAATCACGGCCCACCCACTCTCTCATTATCCCCGCTGCCCTCCGACATGACACGGGAACAAAGTAGACATTAAGCAACATTAAACCCGGGGATGGGAGTAGTCAGGAACCCGTTATCTGTTAATGAAGGCAAACACATGCGCAGCGATACACACACAGAGCGGGTAATCAATAGAGACGCCAGACAAAGGGAATCGGAAAAAAAGGGGAAATGCAAATCAATTAGAATCGTTGTTTGCTTTGACACTGTCGAGTCTATTTCCATTAATTACATGTTCATTAGAAGTAATTCGTCCAGGCTACACAACAACAACAGTTGTCTCCCTTCTTGTGCTTTTCTTTTTTATATTAGGAAGTGATGGACAAGACACTGGCTGGGGTCCAAAAACCTAATCTATCTGGAGCAAAATAAGTAAAAACAGCCTGAAAACAATGTTTGAACTTTTTTAGTCACTGAAAAACAGTTTAACCAACATTATTATTTGCTTTAGGCTGCCCTCTCCTCACAGACAATAATCTGAGACTCCCTCCTGGATTATATGGAGGCACTAAGCAGATAAAGAAACACAAAATCCTGTGTTAACAGACTTTTCAGAGAGCTAATTTTCCCATTAAAACTGATTAATTTACCCTGTTTTCTCGTCAGAACTAACTTTCTTCACAGCTGATCACCGTAATAGGCGAGACCATAACAAATCATGCTGCTATCGCTCAAACTGAGTAAATAAGGTCTGTTTTTTTGTTCGATTTGTGTTTGTATTACGACCGCCTGATTAAAAGGAGAAAATAGCTGAAGTAAACTTATAACAGAGGCAGAAAAACTGCATGGATGCATGTCCCTCTTGGGCTCCCGTAGACTTGCATACACTACAATAAGAGGCTGAAGTGTTCCTTTCCTTTTTGGTTTAGACTTTGCTTAATTTAATCTTTTTCATCACGGGTTGTTTTATCGGCATATCTTTTATTTTTTATGTCTACACAGCTTCTGTTTGTTAAATCGTTAAACTTGAAAAAGCTAAATGAATTATTCATGAGGAAAAAAAACGAGGACTGTTGTTTAACCAAGCGTTGTGTTAAAATGTCATGTCCCACCATCATGATCAGTATGCTATCTTATCTCCTTTTTTACACAATCAGAGTTGCTTTCACCGAAGGCCCACAACCTCTTGTTGGTTGCTATAGCATTTTCAAGCACCATTCTGCTAAATCCCAGCCCCCACATGGACCTGCACTGCACACTTGTAATAAATTATCCTCAAGTGAAACGACTAAAAAAAATGGAGCTGGACCGAAGCTGGACAGAGGCACTTTACTGAATCACACCGCATAAACATTTTCATTTTTTTGTGACTTGACCCCTAAAGCTTTTATACAGTTCATGCATGTGTCTGGGTCTTTCAGAGTGTATCCTTTATAAACCTTGGCATCTCTATGGGCCTACTGTTCCTGCAGCTCTTATCTGCCTGCTGATGACTGATGTTATGCAATCACATTTTGCATCTGCGGTAGACAAAATCTGTAGGCGGTGGCTGGATGCATCTCATGCAGAGCGTCCTCCTCGTCCTACAGGCTGAAGTGCAAACATATGCGTCTGGAACGACAGTGAGAAGAGCGCTGATTTGTTTGATTAATTAAAGCATGCTCCCCCCACCCAAAAAAAAATGCCCCCTAAAAAGCACACGTTCACAACGCCGCACCACCAAGTTTAGTGGTGAACGAGTGGGAATTTGAATCAGCCTCTTTATTCTATGAGCCCCATCTTTGCCAAATTGAATGCAGATTGAAAATAATTTTTCAGCTCTTGACTTCAGCTATTCACGGCTCTCTGAATTGGTTTTTCTGCTGTCACAGTGCCACACAAATGTAAATAAAAGTCTCTGGAATATGCTTCAGATGATTGTATGGCTGCCAGTGACTGTCTATGTGCAACAGAGAAATCAAAGATGACACAGTGTTAAGTTACCGTCAATAAATTGTATTGAGTCAACCGCTAAATCTTTAATTGATTATTGTTTTAGGAATATCTTTGGTGAGAGCAAAAGAAAATAGATTAAAAAATAAACAGTATTGACGAAAAATTCAACAAAATCTGAAAAGATGTTTGTAAAAATGCGACAATGCTTCAGTTAGAGAAAATAAAGTCTCTTTTTCCGGGATAAAACTAAAAAACGTAGCTATAAATGTTAAAAAAAATCACCCTTTGCGTCTTTATTTCATATTTTGCAGCTTTTATCGATGCAGAAACTGCAGCTTTGAGCTTCTAATCCATTATTTTTTTTTAAATACCTTCATAAATGTTCATTTCACTGTCTGCAACAAACTCCATTTGTGCTCACCTCTTCTTTGGTTCCCCGGTGCAGGACCAGAGCCTGCTGTGTTTTGGCAGGAAATCAATACAGAAGAGGGGGGGGTCTGTTCTAATCATCTGTACATTTACCATCACAATCAACAATCAAAGCCAAGACCTGAATCTTTATTTGTAGGCCTGAACTGAACAATTTTCCCACTGTGAAAGGCAAGCTAAATTAGAACCCTTGGTTCCTGTTAGCAGCTCTTAATGGCTCTGATTTGTGAACTGTTAAATGAGGTTATGTAAATTGATCCTGAATGTAGGCAGAGGCCCGCAGGTGACAGGTGCAGCCGGCTGAAGGTGGGGGCAGGGATGGTGTCATGAAGTGAGGAGGGGGGTTAATATAGCAAGATGTATTTGCAGGGCCACAGGGAGACGGATTCACAGAATGAGACTGACTGAATGGTTCAACATTAATATTTCAGGAGACATTTCCAACACCGGCGTACGCTCTTCACTTTAAATACTTGTAAGGATTTAGCTTCAAATACCCTGATGAATACACTGGTGGGAAGTACAACAGCTTAATACTTAGTTCATGTAGGTTGGAAGCACTTGTTCATCACTTTACTTTTACACAGCTACACCAAAATATTAAAGTATATGTCCGCGCTTTTACATTTACCGAATTAAATTTGGGTAAACGGTCCATTATGCAGATTAAAGGTCATCTGGTGAAGTGTGAAAAATGACTCTTTGACTTTAAACCACTTTATAATCATGCATTAAACTGTAATTGGCCCAATACTGCTTGAAACAGTTCAGAATAGGGTTAAAGTCAAGTTTTAGAAAACATTAGTAATTATCAGCACAGCTGGACTCACAGACATTTATCCATTAATCTACTTATAATAAATTAGCTGCATCATTTTTTGAAATACCTTTAATTTTGGCCATTAATTTGAAAACAAAAACAGAAACTTTTAACTTTCAAAATGTTTTTATTTCTATGACTATCCTGCAGGATCTTTTAAGCGATGTGTTGGTTATAAACAACTCAGCTCTTAAATCAAATACTGCTATGGAGAGCCAAAAAAACAGTCGATTCTTGCTGAGTATTGGTGCACAAGAAGCGTCTATGTTGAGGTGGTTTACTTGGGAAAGAAGGAGGATCCAAACCTGCTCTTGCATCGTAAGATGGATCACAGACAACTTGAGCAAGATCATGCAGTCTCTGAAGGTTTTAAGTAAACAGTTGATCTTTATGGATATAATTTGTCTGGATCAGGGACTTGTGTCGTGACAGTCCTCTCTGTTTCTGGGGATTTTAATATTCATGCTTCTTTCTGTTAATGTTGAAAATGATGAACTGATTAATAGTCCAAATTTATCACCCAATCCTGGTGGTGTCAACACTTCATGAACTTTTCCTCCTACTTTAGGGGCGCTCAGTTTTGAAGCACTTGCCCTGTGTACAGAGGCTGGTCCCCGTCCCTGGTTTGCCTCCTGGCTTTGACCCTTCTCTGCTCGTCTTCCCCCCGCTCTCTACTCCACATCTCCAGTCTGTCTTCTTACAAATAACTTCAAATTGCACACAGGTCTTCTTTTTAAACACCACTTGACACTGCAGAAACATTATGGTTGTACTTTAACTTCAGAAAGAGTTCAACTTTTTCATCTACTTCCAAACACTGTCTCTCTTTAACCAAAA